AGGTGGATCTTTGTGAGTTCGAGGCCAGCCTGGGCTACCAAGTGAGCTCCAGGAAAGGCGCAAAGCTACACAGAGAAACCCTGTCTCGAAAAAACCAAAAAAAAAAAAGAACTGATACAATCATCAATGCTTGAGGCCTGTCCAACTCAAGACCTACATGCAGAGACAGCTACAGATGCAGCCCAACACAAGCTCATAAACTTAATTAAACATAAAATTGTATCCTTTTTTGTAAGTCAATTGCACAGTTCTCAAATGTGAACTTTGTTGTAAATGACAACATCATGTCACAACATCAAAAGGTTAAGTCCCTGCGAGTAATCTGCCTTCCATACTGTGAGGCAGACAGTACCTCAGTGCTCAACAGACCAGGAAGCAATTAACAGCCATGCTCACAGTCCCACTGAGGACAGGACAAACTCACAGGACAAAAGCTCGTTTTCATGAATTCATGAAGGCGCATGTGAAACACCAAACATACACAAATACATTACTGATTTCACTGTGACCAATGGCTTTGGATCTTAGAGTGTGCGGGTGTGGATGGGATATTTGTAAGAACAGATTTACATGTTAACTGACTAGGTGTGGTGGTGCAAACTTGTAATCCTAGCACTCAGGAGGCTGAGCCGGGAGATCACAAGTCCAATACCAGCCTAAACTACAAAGCAAGAGTCTTTTCTTTAATGTTTAAATTAAACTTTTAAAAAAATGAAAGTAAAAAAGAAACTTGAAAAAAGTGATAATGTCTAGTTAATCTATTGTCCTTAGGCCTGTTGAGCACAGTGCCTAGTGGTAACTGGAGCTCCACAACTGTCACCAGATGATGTGGCAAGGCTTACACAGCAGAATGGAAGAAGAGAAAATCATATTCCAAAAAGCACTGCCTTGGATCGCCACTGTTCTTTAAGTTAGTGTAGCTTCTGGACCTCCAGACTACTAGACAGCCCTTCCCTGCAGGCCTGGGACTGGGCCTGTTCAAATATAAGGCAGCATCCCTGCCCTCTAGCCACTAGATGCCAGCATCTCCACAATTAGCAAAGTCCAATGATGGCCTCCAGCCGAGAACAAAGTTAATTCCAGCCCTCCGTCACCTCCACCTTCTCAGTCTCCAACTTGTGAAGCATTCCCTATCCAACCTGCCCAGTGATTTCAACGTTCAATCTTGTTTGTTCAACATTCAAGCTGACAGACATATCCTCACTTTAGACTCCAAGTTCTTATTTCCAGGGGTCACCCCGACAGTCACCCACCAGACCCTCAGGATTCATCACTACCCAAACCTGCAGCGTCCTCATCTCAGGCTCAGATCTCAGGCTCCTCCTACCTGTCTTCTCTTCTCCAATTCCTTTAGTCTACCCAAACCCATCTGCCTCAGCAGCAGATCAGCGCTTGATCCTGAGTAATGGCACCAGACTACATTCATAGACTTGTAAGTCTGTGTGATAAACTGAAGAGAACTGGGGCTGGCAAGATGGCCCAACAGGTAAGGGAGCTTGCCATGCAAGCCTGGCAACCTCAGTTTGATCCCTACAACCCACATAATAGTGGAAGGGAAGAACTGTTTCCACAAAGTTATCCTAACCTACACAATGTACACCATGGCATGTGTGTCTACATACATAAATCATTCATATACACTAACAACAAATTTTGGAGAAAAAAAAATTTAAACCACCCAGACCACCTGACTCCAACCAAGCCTGAGAGTTCCTCAAGTCCTTACTACTTGTCTTGTTTCATTTGGGGTTTTTTGTTGTTGCTGCTGCTTCTGTTTTAATTTTTTTAATTAGCATACAAAGGGTCAAGAGATAATTATGACATTGTAAACAAAGTATGTTTTAGAAGATCCTCTTCTCCCTTATGTTCCCAACTCCCCTGTCCCCCATCCCCTTATAACTTCCCCGCCCCATCTTTCTTTCACGTCATAAAAGTATGCAACGGGATGGAGAGATGGCTCAGAGGTTAAGAGCACCGACTGCTCTTCCAGAGGTCCTGAGTTCAATTCCCAGCAACCACGTGGTGGCTCACAACCATCTGTAATGAGATCTGGTGCCCTCTTCTGATGTGCAGGCATACATGCAGGTGGAACACTGCATATAATAAATGAATCTTTTAAAAAAAAAGAAAAAGAAAAGTATGCAACAAAGAGCCTGGAGAGGTGCTCACTGATTAAGAGCACTGGATCCTCTAGCAGAGGACCTAGGTTCAATTCCCAGCACCCACATGGTGACTCACAACTGCCTGCAACTCCAGTCCCCAGGGAACCTACACCCTCTTCTGGCCTCCACAGATACCAGGCACACAAGTATTACACAGTCATACATGCAGGCAAAACACCAAACACATAAAAATAAGCACAATTTTAAAAACATATGGAAAGGCTCAAAAATGTGCATGTTACCTATGCACAGGGGCCATGCTCACCTTCTCTGTACAGGTGCCATTTCAGTGTTATGTGCTGCCCACGGGAGCACTGTTCTAGTTTTCTGAGACAGGGTCTTGATATACAGTCTGACCTTGTACTCGTAGTGATCCTCTCGCCTTACCCTCCCAAGCATGACGTTGTAAGTGTCCACCACTACTCTCAGACCAAGGGCAGCTACTTCTACAGTCTTTCTCCTATCCAGCAAAAGCCCTCGACACCTACTATTCTCCCTCCCCTAACCTCACATTCATGAGACACTAAAAACAAAACAAATCTAGGCCAGCCTAGACTACATGAGTCCCCATTTCAAAAACCAAACAAACAAACAAAAAGAGTCACTTGGCGCCTACTGAATCCAAGGCAGAACATTTTTTACTAGCTTTTGTCTTATGAGGTAATTGCAGGGTAAGCAGCCTGGCAAAAGTTTTAGCAAATTAGAGCCAAAACCTTCTTAAGATGTGTTCTAAACTTTTTCTTGACCTAAAAGCTTAGACAAGTGTCTTAAAAGCAGTTCTAGTGAGCCATTTTTGGTAACGTGTGAGCAAAATTATTTTTAGCTGGAAAAGTTGATTTCAATCCCTCTCTCCTAACTCAGAGGTTCTGACCAGGTTCAGCTCCAGCTTTGTTTTCAGAATCGTTTGTCTTTGAGTGGATTCAAAGTATAGAACCTTCAGCTCCAAAAGAAAAGCTTTCTCCAAAAGGGACAGACAGTCACAATGTGCTAACACCCAGGGTTCACGGAAACCACCACTGGCCCAGCTGCACCTACTCGGTGCACTATGTATGGCAATGTGTAGATGTACCCAATCGTATTATTAAAATAAGAAACACAGAGCCAAGGTAAAAAAAAAAAGCCGAGAGGTCAGAGCTCAGAGATAAAATCTTACCTCCTGCAGTGCTCCT